GAACCAACATTCAGGGCATCGCGTGCAAGGAAGGAGCCATATTCATGTTACACAAGGCACAACCAAAATACAGAGGAGGAAAAAAAACAAGGGACACATTATTAAAATAATGAAATATTAAGCAATATAATAGAGAGGAGAGGCAACAGAGCTGAATTATAAGGAGGGAGAACTGTTGGACTATTGAACACACACACGGTCTAAATACACAAACACAACCTTTGCTCTCTCAGTCCCTGACATCTCGAGTCTGGAAACAATCATGGTTGTAATAGTAAGGTTGATTGGGTTAATGAATCACACACGCATAGAGAAGAAAACCACAATTACATGATTGATTTGATTTGAAAGATACCGATTAGCTCCCAGACTCAAACATAATCAGGAAAAAAATGATTGAGAAAACACAGCTTGCATTCATGATTCCTGCCGATTAAAGCGATGTGGTGAACAGACAGTTCAACAGCACCAGAGAGATGAAACGGGGGGGTAAGGAGGTGGCACTAGGAACCCATGTGCAAGTGTGGATGTTTCCAGGGAGAGCATGGGATAAGGAGGTCACAGGGAGTGTGCAGACTTGGCTGAGGTGGATGGGGGGGGTTGGTGGTGCTTTGCGTTGTAAAAGACGTGCTCTGATGGGGCGTTGGATGTCAGGAATATGAGGAGCTCGTTGGTATTTGTTTTAGAGGCTCATGCACGTTTCTGCACTGTAACATGCAGAGTTAATAGAATGTAACAGTTATGGGTTAGGAATTAAGTTCGTAACAATATGGTGACTTTTAGTACAAGAAATATAAACGCTGTTGTATATTTCATGTTATATTTTGAGTAGTAGAGCTAGCCGTGCAAATGTCATGCCAGAGGGATAAAAACATGTCAAAATCAGTACTGAGAGAGTTTAAGTTTATGAAATAAATGCTTTTAAACTAGTTAGTAGCTATGGACGGGTTTTTTTTCAATGCAAAAATGGTACAATAAAAGTATCAGAAGCAGTATGGACTTCCTATAATTAAAGTAAGCCTTCCTTTCGTGTTAAATGGATGCCGTGCATGAAACATGGTGAGTCAAGCGTGCAATTTCTTCACCCAGTTATGATGTAGGAGCTTATAGAAGCTGAATGTATGAACACAACCATGCTCTTTACTACAAAATGTGAAAGCAAATGTATCCCGAGGACAGAAGACAGTAACATCATACGCATGTTCACAGGTAAGAAAGTGATAGTAGATGCAAGTCAATTAATGGTTTAGTTAGAGAGAAGAGAAGGAAAAGGAAGCAAGAAATACAATCAACAAGCACAGATTTTGAGAGCATGCAGAGGCACAGAAACACCTCCCGTTTCTTATTTTGGTCTTTTTCAACCACATTTTACATTAGATTTTACTCTCTGACCTGTAAACTCTTTCTTCATTCAGAACCCCTTACAGTGCAGTGTTTCATTTAGAAATAGCACACTATAAATTGGTTCTGACAAAACATCTATTTCCCTGTCTGACTTTCCTGAAAAGGAGAGGTGTTTCTGCAAACAGCCCATAGAGATTTGTCCTCTACAAGTACGAGAGGAAGAAGAGGCGGTCCAGGACTTTAATTCATCTGCTTCCTGCTTCTTCCTCGTCCTTCATACCACTCTACCCTCCCACCCCTTCCTCAACCCAGCCCGCTGTCCTCTGGTCAGCCGTCCCCCAGGCGCTCACCGGAAATATCCCACACTCGCACGGTCTGGTCCAGACTGGCCGACACCACCAGGTCCTCAGCTGGGTGGAACTGGGCGCACATCACATAGTGATTGTGGCCGGTCAGCACACTGTGGATGGAGGAAAAAGGGACAGATTCAGAATTAGAACACAGGTATCTTACTATTTTCACTTTTTTTTGTTAAACAGTGGTTGGTTGGGTTGGTTGCAAGATATGATTTGTGCAAGATATGAAATCAAAACAAAGGCTCTATGTTTGTATTCTTTTATATAACTAAACAATAACTCTTAAAATTGTGTTTGTCTGTTGCGAAAAACTTCAACGCGTGTCTTACCAGACACAGGTCCTTGACTGCCAGTTCCAGATGCGAATAGTCTGGTCATCTGAGGCGCTCAGAATCCAGGGGTACTCCTAGAGTAATGGAAATGGTTGTATTAATTAAATCAGTGATGAACTAGAAAGGAAGAAGATGTATTTAAAGTGTCAGCACAACTCACATGGTGGAAGAAGGTAGTTCTGATGTAATCAAGGTGTCCAAGCAGAGTGAAGAGGCAGCGTCTCAGTTTGTAGTTCCACACCTGAATAAAATAGGAATATTTACTTAACATGTACACATATAACATATTGTATATAATCTAATAATTATATTAAATATGACAGAACCTTTGCTTTTAAGACATAGGCGTCACAGTGAGTAACCCAAGAAAGCATGAATACAAACACATTTTTGGTGCAAAACAATAAGCAGTCTCACCTTGATTTTGTAATCATCTCCTCCGGACACAAACAGAGGCTGCTGTTTGTGGAAATCAATTCCTCTGACAGGACCTGTGGCCAAAAAACACAGATCACATCAAATCAATCAAAATACATCAAATCAGATTATTAAATAGATAATCTGATAATATTACTACATCGGCCACACCATGGCCTTACCATCATGCTCGTCAAACTTGTCAATCAGGGTGCACATCCGGTAGTCCCACAGCTGGATGACTCCGTTGTGCAAACTTGCAAGAACCCATGGCCTCTTGGGATGGAAACTCAGGCCTGAAATGTAGAACAGCTGATCAACTGTCTCATAATATCAAATAAATTTAAAAAAAAATTAGGATTTCAGCCGATGGGAGGCTAGTTTACTTTGTATTATTTATATATATATATATATATATATATATATATAAAAATAATACAATATATATATATACACACACACACACATATATATATACAT